GGAGCACATGGGATTTTTCACAGCATTACTGAATAACACTAAAGCAAACATTAATGTGAAGTCCATGAGATGAATGCATCCAAAAAGCCTCTTCGGACCTCAGGCAGGAAGAGGCCTGTGTGCCTACAGCTCTAGCCATTGCACATGCCTTTGGGGGAAAATCTCACCCCTCACAGACCCAACCCAGCTGCCTCCCAGGGCTGCTATAGCTATAAATACTCCTACATATCATTTTTAACACCTAGTGAATTAAAAAACACTCGATACGGTTGAAAGCTGACCAGATCTCCTTACACGGCACAGAATGTGAACTGTTGTCCAACTCTGCCTACTCCTTCCTCCCTTCCTCCTTCATGGTCCATCATTACACCTTTAAAACATTCTGAAAAGCAGACTGGTATCGCACGATAAACTCAAACCGAGAGTTGAAACCATGGGAGAGCTGCGTACACACCTCTTCACTGCATCCACCTGGTCCTGAGTGTAGCCCTTGGGAGCCTCCCCACCAGCCTCTCCGTTGGCTGACGGGAATTCTCCGCCTGTTTTCTTGAACTGGGGGTTTGTGGACTCCCTGGATTGGGACTGGCCATTGGCCGATTGCTCATTCTTGTTGAGTGATTCAAGCAGAACTGAAATGAGAAAAAGATTTTTAAAAAAAAAAGACGTTAAGAAACTGCCAAGCTCATCTTGCCCTTCCCACTCTCCCATAAAGAGAGCCCTCTTAATCTCTGCCACTGCTCTAAGACCCCCCACCCTTTGTCAGAAAGATCCTCACCTTTTCACCCAACCCTTGAGCTCCTGCTGCTTCTTGCCCAGATGTGAGGCCTACTGCTGTGGACATTGCCTGCTTCTCCCTATGCACGCAACCTCCACCAAAACCTCAGGCCTGCCCAGCCGGACAGTCCGGGAGCCACAAGGGATTACCAAAGCGCTGCATCCTTGCCTTCTGCCTTTTTTTTCCCAGGTGCCTCCTTACAGTGAAGCATTTCCACATTTGATTGTTAGCACATTATAAAGCATAGTATTCTTCTTTATCTCCTGTCTTTGAGAGTCTACTGTGCTGGGTAAATTATGTGACAATGACCTATCTTTAGAGAGCTTAGAAAATAACACCGTGGGATGCCAGTCCCACAGGGACGCACCCATTTTGGGGACAGAGAACTGCAGCACTGATTGCTGGCACCACTGACAGAACCCACCACATGCGAGTCAGAAGGGTGCTTTGTTCTCTTCTGCTGTCTTACCTACGTATTCCATGTGTGTAGAAGAAGCTGCAATAACCATCTTCTCTCTCGTTTACCAAATATGAATTGCATACATTCAGTTTCCCTTCTCTTAAGTGGGGTGCATGTGTGTATTGGGTAAACCGTTGTGGACTGTCGCCGCCTCCTCGCAAGGTGCAGACACTATTCTCCATCCTCTTCAGCCAAGAGGGGACAAACATTCAGGCCTGGCCTAACAGCACGGGTGACAACACTCTGAAACCAAGTGAGGCTCCTCCAAGCACAGAAGTATCTTTCCTTCATGCACTTCCCTGGTGGCTGGATAACACCACCTTTCAAAACGATTTCTGCCTTGTTTTAACCAAATATCAGACCGATCTCCTTGTGCCTGTAGTTTCTGAAGTTTATATATTGCATCCCCATTAAAAGAATACACACACGTAATACGATTAAAACCAGACAATATTATTTACAAAGGCATCAGTAACTTGACGAGCTTGCAGTCCTTTATCCAGAGCCTAGAACCGAGAAGGACGTTTCATCTCCTCCTGCAGATTGCATGTTACAGACCTTGCACCATGGGGGTATCACGTTCTTTATGCAAGCACAAACAACGCTTGCAGGCCAAGAGACGAGCCAAGATATCCTATCTGCCCCGCAGAGCTTGCAGGGGCAAGAAAAAACCGCTCGGTAATCCAACAGCCAATACATGAAACTGTTAACAGGAGGAAGGATAAAAATGACAGTGAGCTAACAAGTGCTAACTCAATGGATGAGATTTTGAGCTTGGGGCCTTCACGGATTTTGGCTTTCAGAAAAATAAATCCTCACATTTACACCACTAAAGCATTCACAAAATTACAGTCTTTGCTTTTGTTCTTCCAAACCTAGAGCAAACTGCCAAGCTCTTTTAAACTTAGTTTCACCCCCCTCTTGCTGTTCTGGGCTCTGTTCCCTACAGCTTCCCAAGAGACTTTTGGTAGCGCAGCTCCCAAAACCAACCTCAGCAGTCCACGTACAGCCACAGCTCAGTCCTGTTTTGCTCTACAGCCCCAGTCCCTTTCCTTCTGCAGCCCAAGCCACGCTGGTGGCATTCACAGCACAGCGCAGTTTCATGAACTACTGAAGCGGAGACTGCTGGATTAGTTTTCAGTTCTGTCAGCTCAGCTCCCCACCAAGCATGTGCTATGGATCACTTTTCCTCATTTATTAGCCAACATCTGCTCGACTTCTGTTATTTTTTCCACAACTCCTGCTTAAAGGTGACCAGCAGGACTTCGTCTATACCAGTGTGCCCGGCTGCGTTTACGTAGGAGATTTTTGCTGAAATCCCCTTGCAAAACCCTTTGCTGATCCTGTGACGACACCTGCAGGACCCAGCCAGGGTCAGAGTCTGAAGCGCCGGCTGCGCAAGGTCCACGTTGCTGATTGTTGCCAAACCCGATGTGACGCATGAGAAAGATTTCCCAGGGGAACAGGAACTACGTACGGACTCAGTGATCACCGTGTAACTGCGGGATCCTTAGCAGCATTTCCCAACCACGGACTCAAAGTGCACGGGCGAGCAGCTGGCAGGACATCGAGTGAAGGGTCTTTGGGCAGCAGCTTAGATGTGAAACTTCTACCAGCAGCTTGGCTGGGTCTGGCCACAAATTAGCACACTGACATTAGCATTTGACATTAAACTGTCCTGCTGCCCCCTTTTCCTCGGCTTTCCTGCCCCGTGCTCCAGCTCTCTAACAGTACGTATGCCAGCTTTTATTCTGGCTTTCCAGGCCACAGTATTAGGGCAAAGCGTGACTGCCGGACACTGCAAACTGGCGCTTGCTGTCCTCCAGATCTGCTCTTCTGGTGCACGCCCTGGCAGAGCTCCTCAGGAAGAGCAGTCCTTGTCGGGGTGGGCCTCTCTGTGCACTATGCCATGCTTTTTCCTCCAGAAGTCACTTCTCCCACCCAGTAATTTCACAAAAGTATAAATTCTGAACGGGAAGGGAAACCACACCAAGCGTACGACAGGCCGATGCACTGTGTTTGAGGGAACGGGAAGAGGCCTTGTGCAGCCAGAGGGGATCACAGGAAGCCCTGGGTTCTCCGTCGCACCAAGCTCCAAATCACAGCTGAAGAAGCAAAGCTCCGATAAGGTCTGGTGAAGTAAAAAAGGCAGGGGAAAAAAAAAATCTACAGCCCTTTGCACAAACCTCTGCAGTGCAAGAGCACACGGAGAAAGAACCGTGTTCGGCTGCTGCT